CCCCTCCCCACCAGGCAGGAGAGAGAAAAAGGGGTGAAAAGACCCCTTGTGCCCCCACTCATGAAACCCTGTCCCAGGCAGGGATGCTGGGGGGGGAGGGAGGGGGTGTCTAATGAGCCTCCTCCAACCCCCCCAAGATCACCAGGGCAGGGAGAGCACCCTGGGGACACAGCAGGTCACCCAAGGATGGGGCACCCCCTGCCCCATCCACAGGGGGTGGCTGCTGGGGGCAACAGGGGGGTCCTGGGGTCTGTCACCCCCAGTAAAACCCCAGCAAGGACCTGGTGGGCACCCAGGTGCCCATGCAGCAAGGACACAGCTGTCCCCTGTGGGGATGTCCTCCACAGCTCCCGCACGCAGGGAGAAGGGCATCCTTGCCCGAAGAGACAAACAATATTTTTTCTTTTATTTATAAGAAAATAAGAGAAATGTCCCCCTGGAGTCCCGGAGTGAGCTGGGGCAGTGCCCACACTGGGCACAGGGCTGGGGCAGGTCCTCGCGGTGAAGGGATGGGGCACAGGTAGAGGTTTGTTGCCAGAACTCCTGTGCCCCCCCCTGCCCCCCAAGCAGCAGCAAGGTCTGTCCTCCACGCAGGGTCCAAGCCCAGGGTCTGGCAGGGGATAGGGACACCCAGGGTGGGAGAGGTCCAGAGGAAGGGAGAGGGTCCTGACGTGTCCCCGTGCCACGCAGCGCTGGCAAGGGGATGCTGTGTGTGACTGATGGCAAGAAGGGGCTGGGGGGGCCCCAAGGAGGCAACGCAGAGAAGTCCCCCCCTCTGAGGGTTTGGTCCTTGACCGAGCCCCAGCTCCCATCTCCTGCTCTGCAGAGTCTCCCGGGGCACCCCAATATCGCCAGAGCGTCCATGAATCCAGCAGCAGCATCTGTTCTGGCCTCAAGGGATGAGGAGGGGGAATTCCATGTCCCGTTCCCCCCCTCCAGTGTCACAGCAGCAGGCACAGATGTCCCCCAGTGGGGCTGGGGATGGAGAGGGCCCCAGCCTCAGGGTGCAGGCAGGGGGGAGGCAGAGCGCGGCACGAAGGCACTTGGGCTTTGCAGAACCGAGTGCGGGTCGCTGCTCCCAGGGAGCCTCGTGGGGGAATGGGGGTTGGCAGGGTGCCCCCCCCCCGACCCCCCTCGAGGGCCACCAGCCACATCCAGCCCTGCCCTAGCCCCGGGCTCACAACCCAGGCAGCCGCCGCTCCTGGTTCAGCTTCTGGAAGAAGGTTTTGCCAAATTCGTAGGTGCTGATCATGATGGCGCAGGCGGGGGCCACCTTAATGACACGGGGCAAGAAGCCTGCAAAGGATGGACCCCCCCGTTAGCCCCCGGGTGACACCAGGGCACCCCCGTACCCCACAGCCCGGGGTGGGGGGGCACAGCCTTACCTGCAAACAGCCCCCGGGTGCCGGACTCAGCACGGATGCGCCGCATGATGAGCCAGGTGGAGGAAGGCTTGGGGGCTGCGGCTGCGGGGAGAGGGGAGCGGGTGAGGGTCTAGGGGTGCCCAGGTACCACTGGGGAGCCCCAGCTGTGCCCCCCACCCCTGGAGCCCAGCCCCTCACCTGGGTGCACTTCGCTGTCTCCCAGCTCGATCTGCCGCCGGGTCTTGACCACGTCGAAGGGCAGGGTCAGCACCGCAGCCACCTGCGGGTCAGCAGCCGGGCAGTGAGCTGGGTCCTCACCTTCCCTGCCCAGTGCCAGCTCTGCTGTCACCTCCCAGCCCCATCCCTTACTCCCCATAGAATGGTTAGAGTTGGAAGGGATCTTGGAGATCATCTCGTTCCAAGCCCCCTGCCCTGGGCAGGGACACCTCCCACCAGACCAGGTTGCTCCAAGCCCCCTCCAGCCTGGCCTTGAACCCCTCCAGGGATGGTGCAGCCACAGCTTCTCTGGCCAACCTGGGCCAGTGTCTCACCACCCTCACACTAAATAATTTCTTCCTAATATCTAATCTAAATCTCCCCTCTTCCAATTTAAAATCATTACCCCTTGTCCTGTCACTACCCTTCCTGACAAAGAGTCCCTCCCCAGCTCTCCTGGAGCCCCCTTCAGGTACTGGCAGGCTGCTCTAAGGTCTCCCTGGAGCCTTCTCTTCTCCAGGCTGAACCCCCCCAGCTCTCTCAGCCTGTCCTCACAGCAGAGGGGCTCCATCCCTCTGAGCATCTTCGTGGCCCTCCGCTGGACCCGCTCCAACAGGTCCATGACCTTCCTGTGTTGAGGACTCCAAAGCTGGACACAGTATCCAGATGGTAATGGACATTCCCCACCACTGACAGCCGAGCGAGCCCCTGCATGGTGCAGACCCCAAACTCACTGTCCCGGAGATGGCCCCGGAGGCGAAGCTGATCATGAACGTGGCCTCCTCCAGGCAGGTCTGTCTGCAGAACCATTCCCTCACCAGCTCGTAGTTAAACCAGTAAAGAGCTGGGAGGAGATAAGAAACACCAGTGCTACGAGGAACCCTGGACACACCAACCTCACCACGCACAGGGCTGCCCTGCCCCGTGTTCATCCCCCCACATCTCCCAGTGCCACCCCGTCCCCAAAACAGCCATACCCGAGAAGGGGACATCGCGCAGCACGGTGGGTCCCCAGCCCCTCCAGAGGGACAACCAGCCGTCCTGAGCCACCGCCGACCGGATGCAGAGTCCCAGCTCCCGGTAGCTGAGCTGCTGCGACTGCATCTTGGTGCGGATGAGTTCCAGGGGGCTGATGACCGTCACGGCGCCCACTGCAACGGAGGGGACACCGGGCATCAGCGCCATCCGCTCCGGCAACCGCCCCGGAGCCGTCCGAGCGCCGTGCCAAGGAGAGCCAGGCGCCAAACGTGGGCACCAACGGCCAAGAGACACGCTGTGCTGTCCTGCGGGGACACAGGGTGGGCACAAAGGGACCCCCGGAGAGGAGGGGTACTCACTCCTGGCAAGTGCCCCGGCCAGCAAGGGGATGTGGGGGCCCTGGCTCCCGGTCCGAGCCTGCAGGTAGTCCCGGAGCTGGTCGTAGGTGGTGAAATAAATGACGGTGGCCGGCACAGCCATGACCCTGCCAAGGAGGAGGGGTGTTAGTGGCACACGTGTCCTCCCTGGGGTGGATGCCCACGTGCCCAGGCAGCCGTTAGCACCCAGACATCCCCCCCAATCAGGGTCCAAACTCACAGGGTGGGGGGCAACCCGCTCCACAGAGACCTGATGCCCTCGTAGCGTGTGATCTTCACGAAGGCATCCTGGGGAGGGAGGGGAGCACCAGGGAGAAGGGTTAGAGGGGGAAGATGGGCAAACCCCCCCAGCAAACACCCTGACCCCCTCCCCTGGAACAGGGAGGCCCCTGCCCACCCTGCCCATGCCCACAGCCCCTACCAGCGTGCCGCTGAAGCGGGTGGGGGCCTTGTACCAGGCAGTGCAGCCATTGCCGTTCTGGCAGACGTAGAGATGGTCCATGAGGCCGTTGCAGTAGAGGAAACACTTCCCTGGGGGGTGGGAGGCAACAGCATCACCGTTAGACAGGAGACCCCTTCCCCTCTGCCCCGTGCCCGGCCCCATTGGATCCCCAAAACCACCATCTCTTCCAGGAGAAAGCCAAACCCTCAACGCCTGAGCCCGGAGGGGACCAGCCCCAAGCCAAGGCCAGGAGAGGGATAACCCTCCAGCAAGGGTCTGACCCATGGGGTGGGGGGCATCCAGCCCCACTGTGGGGACAGGGGCACGGCAGGAGCCATTGCCAGCAGCAGGAGAGGTTTATGCCTCGCTCGGTGACAGCTCTGCTGCCCCGGCACGGTGGGGAGCCATCACAGGGATCCAGTGTGACACCCCCACCGTGCTCTCGGGCCAGGCACAGGGACACCGAGCAGCGGGGAGCAAGCAGGACAGCAGAGATCCAAGGGGACTTTGACGTAATGACAGGACAGAGTGACAAGATAGGGCAAGGAGAGGAGAAGTACAGAGAGGCACGCTTGTTGCACAAGACCCCCAGGATAACCCTTGGGGGTGTTGCACAGCCAGCCCCAAAGCAGGGCTGCAGAAGGAGCTGTGGGGCTGGGGACGATGGCAGTCCCCATGCCAGAGGGATGTCCCCTCAGCTGGAGGAGCCCAAGCTGCCACCAGCGGGGAGACAAACCAAGGTCAAAGCTTGGGAAAGCAAAGCCACCAGCATCAGGAGCTGCCCGGAGCCCCTGGGCATACTCACATGTGGCTTGCTGAGTGCCCCAGGGCACAGCCCGTGCTGACAACGCTGAAACACACAACGGGGACATGCTGAGCGATGACAGGGGGGACATGCCACTTCCTCAGGCTGGGGCACACGCGTGTGCCACAGCTCTGAGCCGGGCAGCGGGAGATCTCCATGGGTGAAGGGACTGGATGTCTCCACAGCCACTTCCCAAAGCAGTCCCAACTGTCACCAAACCAGTCCCAGCCTGCTGACCCCACAGGGAGGGGGACAGGCAGGGGGGGGACAGAACATACGGGGTCTCTCCTGCCCCATGGGAGCTGTGGGGAGCAGCGGGGAGAGAGGCACAAGGCAGGAGGGGAAGGAGTGAGCAGCCAGAGGGGGCTGAGCCCTTGTGCCCCGCTCCCCAGCGGGCAGGGGGCTGCCAGGCACAGCGCTGACCCCTCTCAGCGTCCCCACAGGGCTGTGGAGGGGGGAGGACGGAGCCAAGCATCAGCCTGGCTCCCCCCGGCGGGGCCCCCCGAGCCCGTCAGGACAAGGGGCCCATGGTAACCTGCCACCTCGTGATGGCCCCACGCTCGGGAGCCGAGAAATCCCCGCCACCAGCTCTGCCAAACAAGACACCCATGTGGGCTGCTCGCTGGCTGACCTGGGGCGGGGTGGGGGGCTGGAGAGAGACCCCCCCCCCTCACCCTGCCCTGAGCGGGGTTACCTTTGGAGAAGGGGGTCCTCTGGGCCTGCAGGCGGATCTTCACCACGTCCAGTGGAGTCACTGAAACGACATCATCCTTTAGCCATGCCAAACCATGCCAGCCCCCCCCTCGCCTCCCCCTTGCTCCCCATGATCCTCACCGAAGAGGGAGGTGAGGATGGCCCCCGTCCCCGAGGCCAGCATCTGCTGCAGCGGCGTGATGCCCCGGCTGGGGCTCGGCAACGTCTCCTCATCCATGGTGCTGGCCCCCTACAACAAATAACAGAGGGATGTTGGGGGTACTCCAGGGGGGGGTCCCTACTTGGGGATGAGCGATGGCTCCTCAGGGAGCCCCCCCCAGCATCCCAGCTCTGCCGGTGAGAGGACAGGCGTCCCACCTCCCGCCACGCTATCGGCATGGCACAGGGCAGGCGTGCCCCCCCCATAATCGTGCTGCCCCCAGGGAGAGAGGGGGGTGGGGACAGACACACACACGCACACAGGGATGGGTCCTGGAGGTGGCCCAGCCCCGATAACACCCCCCGTGGCCCCACGGCTGGCAGCGGGCCCGGCCTTTGCTGGGGAGGTGGGGACAGGCCAGGCCAGCCTTCCGTGTCCTTGGGGAGGGAGGGAGGGAGGATCGTCCCCTCCCTGCACTTGGAAAAAATTAAGGGACAGGAAGGAACGAAGTCCAAAGACCAGGCAGCCCCCCTCTTCCAGCTGAGAAGGCAGCAGAGCCCCGGAGGGACAGCGTTGGGGGGACAGCACAGGGTGTGCAGGTTTGCGACAAACACCCCAAAAAGGGCTGGCAGATCCAAAAACCTTCCGCCGCCGAGACTCGGCAAGGCTTGGCAAGGCTGCGGCCCCCGGGGCCAGCGTCCCTGCCCTCGGGAAGCGGGGGATATCGCACCCTTCCTGCGGGAGGAGGACGTGGAGAAGCGAGACCATCCCAGCCCAGGACCAGCTGCTCCCCCTCGCCGCAGCCCCGGGGACCGTCCTCGCATCGGGACAGGGCCACGGCTGTGGCATGAGGGCTTCCAAGCTTTGGGAACCCATGCTTTTTTTTAAAAAAAAACCAAACACACAGGGAATGCAGCAAAAAAAACCAAAAACAAAAACCCACAACAAAACAAAAAACCCTGACTTCATCTGACTCAGCAATTTCACAGGGAATGCAGCAAAAAAACCAAAACCAAAAACCCACAACAAAACAAAAACCCCTGACTTCATCTGACTCAGCAATTTCACAAGGTCACAGCAGCCATAAATCTCTCGATTGCTGGCTCCAGACCCCTTTGGTGCCCAAGGCTGCAGGCAGGGATGGGTCCATCCCGGCCCCACAGTGGCCAGCCCCCACTGGGGGAGATGGGTGGCATCAGGGGGGGTGGGCAGGGGTCCCACCGTGCCGGTCACGGGACGGAGGTGAAGCCCTGGCACGGTCCCTGGGGAACACGTGGCTGTTGCAAAACCACTCCGTGGGCAGGGCGATGGGATCCCTCCCTTCACCTAAACCCTGATGCAACCCCAGGGGGGGTGTGTGGAATTTCACCTTCATGGAACCCCAACACCCAAATGGTTTAAAACGTGTCATTTATGGGGGGATGGTGTGTGGAATTTCACCCTCATGGCACCCCGACACCCAAATGGTTTAAAACGTGTCATTTATACATGCCAAGACCCTCTCCCAGTGGTCTTTGAGGGGGAGCTGAGCACCCCCAGGGCACCAGGGAGGGTTTCCCACCCACATCCCAGCTCCCTTCTCAGCTGGGAGCTGCTCCTGTATCCAGGCAGGAAAAAATAAGGCCCTAAAACCATCACCCAGAACCCCCCCCCAGTTAGTCTGGAGCACTGGTGGCTCTGGGCACAGCGCTGTGACGGTTGGTGCAATAAAGCGGGGGGAAGAAAGTAAATATGTGTTAAGGTGACAAAGGCACCAAAGTGCAGCCGCCTCCTGCACTGGGAGGACCAGCCCCCCCCCAGGGACTTAACACCCCCACATCTCCAGGCTGTGCACCCCCTCTCTCGGGGTCTGCAGCCCCCCAAGCACTTTATTTCCGCCCCCCCCCCCAGGCTTTACACCCCTGTCCTGGGATTTGCAGCCCCCCCAGGTACTTGACACGCCCCCCCCAGGCTGTGCACCCCCTCTCTCGGGGTCTGCAGCCCCCCAAGCACTTTACTCTGCCCCACTCAGGCTTTGCACCCCATATCTCAGGGTCTCCAGCCCCTCCCAGGTACTTGACAACCCCCCTTCCAGGCTCTGCACCCCCTATCTTGGGGTCTGCAGCCCCCCAAGCACTTTATTTCCACCC